ACCCCTTAAAATACAAAACAGTTTCCATTGGTCTAGTTAAGTAATAGAAAGGGAACTTGCGAAGATTTTGTTCTTAATGCTCACATGCAATCCCTGCCAAACCGTACTGTGGTACTTTTGAAAGATGTCGTGATGTGTCTTTTCGAAAAAAAAAAATAGTTTGATCAGTTGTACCACAATCTTTCGCAAGCTCTGTATTCATGTGGGGTGTTTGCCTGACAGGAAATCCCCTTATTGTCAGGTGTTGAACATACTTTTGAAAAGAGGAAAAAATACAATAATAACAAAACAGATAATCGTTTTTTTATATTAAATAATTCTGTTCAACAAATCTCAAAATGAATTAGTATCGCACACGTTAAAACCTAAGCATATTTTTAGCTAAACAGGGATTTCTAACCCTTAACTTTGACTGTTTGTGTCAGGCTTTCAAGCACATACTACAATACAACAAGCTCTCTCAAAAGAGGTACCCTTCTTGTTTTCTGGAACTTGGTGTTAATGGAAAATCGTGTATGTGCCTGTTCATGCTAATATCTCATCTACTTGGCTGTTTTAATACCAGGGGATATGCAAATAAATGCTTTGAAAAAAAAGCCCAGGGTAAATGTATAACTCTTAAAAGCTACTTAAGCTATAAGAAGATGGATTTACCTACTGTAATTGTAGGTACAGGTCATGAAATCTAATCAAATACTAAATGTCAGATTGTTAGGTCTGAAATTTCCAAGCTATCTCTTGAGGCTGACACATCAGGGAACCTTCCTGATTACTAGTGCAATTGTAAATATTTCAGATTAGTGACATGCAGACCTGTCCTCTGTTTTGAGTTCAATTCTTAAAACATATTCACACAATCATTAAAAGAAAATACAATTTCACATGAATATATTGAATATATTCTCATATGCATTAGATCATGTTTTGCTTTGAAGAATAATACCCTGAGCATTATTATTTAGTGGAAGACTCGTTATTGTCCTTATTTTTGCTATATCTAAAACTTACAGTATGTGTGATGGACTAGGTGGAATTTTCCTATGCCAGCCACCATCTTGGCTCAAACCCATGCTATGGTGTGACCTTGAGCCAAGATGGCTGCCAGGTAACTGGGAACAGGTGTTGAAATAGACACACCTGTGCTGATCTATGTGTATGTGGGGCACTCTGAATGGATTGAATTCTGTGTTTCAGTTGACACGTACTGTATAAGAAAGCACCCCGTGGAGAGAGTCCTTCAGTAGAGAAACAGTATAAACAACAGTTCAAACTGCCCATTGCCATATTCGAGATGCCAGTGTTATGAAATGTGACCCTGTTCAAATGAACTCAGCCAGAAGGGAGAGAGAGTTATGGCTCTGGAGGCAGGAGTTCTTCTTAGAACAGGATTGGGTTGGCTGACATGCTAGTGAGACTCAATGAACTGTCAGGCAGGTTGAAAATACTGTATATAGTAAATGCAGGTTGTGGACCAGCAAGTCATGTGGTGGTTTGTTAGCCAGGCCCAGTGGCCTGCTGTTAATAAATCATAAAAGACAGTAAATAAATAAAGAATGCTCTGCACAGTAACAGCTACAGACCAGCTATAGACCAAGGAGAGGCTTGGGGTAAGAGAAAGAGGAAAGTGTTCTGATAAAGATAAATGTCTAGGAAAAGGAATGAAAGAACAAAAGACAGCTAAATATGGAGGAATTTTCGTGCAATAAAAATTCCTGAGCTTAGCCAAAAGCAAATGGGCTAGAGAAAGAGTTGGGTAACAGAGTCATTTGGAATTAAACCCTAAAGCTTAATGTAAAAAAGTGCGATGACTTGGCAGAGGGAGACCTGTGTGTGACGGGGAACACCCTGCAGGAAACAGCGAGAGCAGTAAGAGAGAAGAACAAGAACATAAGAAAGGATTCCCCTTATTTGTAACCTTGCGACTATCTGTCTTCAATCCTGAAGATTCAGTAGAAATCTGATGGGAATTCAGAGGGAAACATCAGGAGCCAGGGTGGTGGACTGATGCTACTAAAAAAAATAACTACTGGCACTGGTACAGCATGGGAATTACTGCTTGTTGTAAAGAGAAACTAAAATTATATAAAATCTAGAGTTTTATGTTACAGCAAGTCTGAATTTCAAATGCAAAAATACTTTTGCAAGATATAGGACATATACAAACATATCAAGCTTTTAGAGTTACAAAGTATGTGCATATTAAATGTTAATTATTTTTTAGGACTAGAAAAGGAATCTTCATTCAACTCTGTTTCTTACGTGTGCTGGTAAATGTTTTCACTGAATAGCTACAGTACTTTCTAGATGGAGTATCTAAGGTATTTTAAGTTTCAGTTTCCACAATCAAAATAACACACAATTATGCAAAATATCATCCGCCCAGCATTTTTTCAGACCACTTTTCCTTGAGAAGATCATGGCACCAAAAGATGAGTCTATCACTAATTCCATTATAAAAGTCTGAAGAGCCCTTTACAATTACAACAGAACACTTGAAAAAGAACAATTCATCAGGTCAAATCAATAGCACACATAAGCAGCCCAACTGTGTCATAGATCAACACTCACAAAACTGTGCAGCTGAGATCCCTGTCAGCAGAGCACTCCATTACTGCCTTCAGCCATAACTGGCTAATAAATGCATTTATGTAGAAACTAGTTAAGCAAGTCACTCAGTTTATCCAAATCTGCTTACACAATCAGGTATTAATATTTTTTTCTTAAAATGTACTTGTGGCAGACCTTCATGTTGAACTGTATTGCTTGGGATTTTTCTGCACAAAAAAAATGCATTCCCATATACAGACCATCAGTATCCCTTCTGTTTTCCCTCTGGTGCATCTAAGCTTACTGATTGATGTTTATAAGAAAGACCCGTTTATTCGATTGCAGGCAAACTGTGGAGAACCCACTGAATCCCTTGAGAATGAAGCCAGTAATGTAAGTGTCAGATGTAAAATATGATACTTAAATATGCACTAAAATCATCTCTTCTCTGTGTTTTTGAATGGATGTAACACTTTATGGGCTACTATACTACAGCCATTCCATGAAGGGTTACAAACTCACACCATGCTTGCCAAGATGTGATATACTTCTATTAGCTAGGAATAACCTGCAGGCCATCCTGAGGCTTGGCTGCTACTTTGAAACTATCCACTATCACAGGAAAGCTGGGATTTGTGTCTGGCTCTGGCATTTTGTTAAACCAGGCTTTTATTCAGTGAAACCATCTGATTTCAGGCATAAAATTAAATCTTGTTTTTTTTTCCCCTTCACAGCATTTTTCCATAAAAGATTTAAGATTTCACTGCATTTCCTATGGTCTGCAGACAAAACAAATTGTAGAAATCTGAATGACTTTTCAGCTGAGACATGAAGGACGGTGTGTTATATTTTAGCATTAACTCTTTAAGGCAGCTTTAAGACCAGGCATTCTTACCTGGGAAATGGCACAGTGACCAAACTCCAGTCAAATCTATAACAAATGTATGACTGCGCCGAATCTTGCTCTTTAGGTGTTAAGTCATATGACTTGAAATCCCTCAACTTAAACTAAATTCGATGTACCACAAAAACCTAATTTCATGTGTGAGCTCCATTAGCACTACACGTATGGCTCGGTGGTGTTTCTTAAGGATATTTATATTTTGTAGATGCTTACATTTTCATAGCCTTACATAATGGTTTATATACTGTAGATACATTTCAACAGTCTCCAATCACAATGTCTTGCTGAGGGTTTCCAGGAACTAGAATAGTTTAATGTTAAACTGTAAACATCCCATTGTAAGATTAGAAATAAGAGGCCAAACGGATCCTCTGGTCCATTTGGTAGCAAAACAGCTAACTGAATCTCATCCATTAGTGAGCTGAAAAAAAAAAAACAAGCTATCATCTTCAGAAACATGGCTGGGTAGCTTGTTCCAGACTCCCACAAACCTTTGGGGAAAAAAGTGCCTCCTGGTCTCAGTTTAAAATTCACTTGGCACCTCTGGTTAACATGTCAGTGGTTATTCTGAAAAAGTCCACTGGGTTGCCTCAAGCCAGCTTCAAAGGATTTTGAATGCTTGGATCACAGCCCCTCTTAGTCTTCTCTGTTCAAGACTAAAAGGGATCAGTTCCTTCAGCCTGCCTGTATCGCGTTTCTCTTCTCTGGGCTGATTCCAAAGCAGCAACATTTCATCTGGGTACGGGACCTCCTAACTAGATGTGAGTGTATGACACTGAATTGTGTGGTGAACTATACTTTAAATAATGAATCAACCCGAAATGAAACAGCTAGCGCAGAACATGAACATGTGAAACTCTATGTGGTTTCCTTTGAAATGTGCGTTCACTGTGTACGTCATCTTTAATGTCGATCACATTTCTGCTACCACAGGTCTAAGGTCACACCCAAACTCAAATGATAATGACTACAAAGGCATAAATGCATTCATTTATTAACTGCTACTGTATATCCAATACAAGATTGTAGGGGAGCCAAAGCCTAGTGTTTATATGTACAGTCTGGCATTTATAAATATTTTTCAAGAAAATGCTTTTGTTTCTGCTTTGCAGTACTGTATAAAACAAAAGTTACTAGCATGCATTAGGTGATGAGACAGTTAAAGTTAAATCATGAGTCGATTAGAAAAGGAGATTTTGTTTCTGGCTTACATAAAGTTCTTGCACTTATCTTTTCAGAAAATCAAATTAGTTCAGATAGCCTTTTAATCCTTACCGATTTCTGATTTTACAATGGGTCTTTGACTTGTGGAAGCACAATCGTTCATCACATTTTCAACAAGCACAGTATGATCAGATTTTGAGTTCACACTAGACAAGATACATAATGTCTTGTCAAAGACATTAGACAAAAGTGTTCTTAATTTCATACAACTGAAATCATTGTTTATCCTGAAGAATATATGTCCTTCCTTTGTTGAGGGATAAAGAAGGGTATATTTCTAAATACTTTCCCTAAAAAAAAAACATATAGATGAAAATAGACTTACCATGATCATCTGAGCAACGTAACTTTCAGGTCCAGTATATTCAGTCGGATCTTTCACTTTAACCAGAACTATGAAGTACAGGTAATGCCACATGTTATGTTCTGACTTTATATGCTCCTCAAAAGAAACTGTCTTGTTGTCAAATTTATCTCTCTCAAGCCCTGCAACAAAAAAAGGAAAAAAAAAAGCTTTTTAGACTAAACAGTGTCAGATCTTCATATTCATTAACTACAGTATCTACTGCATCATAAATTAACAAAAAAACATAAAAATGTAATAATTTTACATAAATACAGTTTAGTTACTCAGTGAAGGCCATTGCTTGAATCTACAATAATGAAAGAAGTCATATTTTAAAAGACTACAAGGACCGATTGGTTTAACTGATGTTAGTTGAAAGTAGCTGCCTGACTCTTTATAATGTATGTTAAATCCCTCTGCTTAACAGAGCACTTACCACAGATGAAACAGGTGGTTTTCAGAATTTCTTCTTTCCTCTGCTTTTCACTTCTCAAGTCTGCAAATGTGTCAATGATGACTCCAAAAATGAGATTGAGGACAATGATGATGACAATGAAGAAGAACAGCAGGTCATACACAACACGTGCAGCAAATAGGGGCTCCTGAAAATAGAATCACAAGTTAAACTCAGCTGAGATCTCCCCGTCAAAGTAAAATGCCCTGTAAATTAAACTAATATCTAAATTTACCCACTGTAATACTGTCATACTGGCAAACAACAATTATTCCTACACCCTAGAACTGTGAAAAATGTGAAAACTCTGCAGGGGGAGAAAACATCTCCAAAACACTGTAAGTAGTTTATATTTTATAAGAAGGTAAGGTAAATGAGAAGAGCAATGGTCCTAATACAGATCAGCCAAATTGAACATTTATCTCTTATCTTTACTCTGTTTTCTATTCATGTTCTCATTCTAAACACAGGCATTAGATTGAATTGCTACTGAATGTTATTTAAGAATTCATATTTTATGAGAAACCTTAAAGTTAGTGAAAACAAATATACCATATTGCATTCCCTGTATGTCCATTACTATTGTTGCCTGTCCGGGAGATCTCTAAGGTTAGTTGAAAAAGAAAATCATGCTGCTATCCCTAAGGATCGTATTTCCAGTTATATACAGTACATACTGTATATATGATCCTCTGTTTTAGTTTTAATGATTGTTTCAATAATCTTAGAAGTAATATAAGACTGGTCAATTAATTGGTACAGTTTTGTCACACTTTTTATTGATAGGTCATCAATCATCAGAAATTTTTCCATGAATATTACTCCCATCTTGAGCAACTGTTGGAAGGGTTTTGCTAATATATTGAGAATCACAACATTTGCTTCCTTATATACAAGTTCTACGATATCACCAAGCCCGAGAGGTTTGCTTAGCTCAAGTGATTCAAACACCTGCAGAAAGCCTGCCTCCTCTATGCTAATATTATTTAGGACATAAATCTGTCCTTCCTGAGCCTAAGGCATGTTGATGAATTCTTTCTTGAGAGAAATATTCATTTACTACATGAGCCAGTTTTCTTCCATTGTCTAGAAATGTCCACATTGTCATCCTGGATACATTTTACTTCATCCTTTACTCTTCCTTTGCTGTTAGAATATGTAAAAGATGTTTTTCTATTTTCGTCAGTTTTTTAAATAATTTCACAAGGCGAAATCTCTCTACTTATATTTTTCTTAAATGACTGACTAAATCACTTGGGCCAAGGCTTGCTAGCTTTTGATTTTCTTACCGAGTGGAATATCTTGAAACCGCTGAAATCTATTCTCTGCAAATTCTGTATCCCTACTATCACATTTTACTTCTTGTATGCTCTGTCTCATTCCTTCCAAACTTTTAGTGTATTCCAGTGGTTTAACACCTTCACATAACAGCATCTTGGCTGGCTCTGAATAAAACTGTCACATTCTTAAAGCTTTCATCCAGAACTAAACTAGAAACATGCAAAATCAGAAAAACAGCAATGTGCCAAAACAGCCACAGCTGAAAGAAAGAAAGAAAGGCAAAGCGACACTTTTCAACCAGAATTGTAAAAATATGTCCCATGCTTGCAAATGTCCTGTTCTTACACGTGATCCTCTGGATTCAGAGAGAAGACAGGTTCTGAGAATAAAAGCCTGGTAACTTTCTCATGTACTTAGCTCTCCAGTTTCACACCCTGTCAAACTGTTCTTAGTACTGGTAGTACAAGGCATTCTTTTATTCTAGTAGCAGTCAGGCAGGCAGGCTAAGCAGCTTATATCAGCAGGGGTTTTGCCACCAAACCTTCCCATGGCATTTATACTTATCGTTGCACATCTACAGAGCTGCAGATCGCAGACTCAAATAAAAATGAGAGGAGGCAGTACTTTGGCCACAATTAGTTATTTGCCCTCTGTAAGGGAAAGCAATATTTTCTGCTTAAATACACGTATTGAACTCCAGCACCACGGAGGAGTGTCGCACATTCGTTTTGTTTCTGAGAATAGTTTATACATATATCTAATTTCAACCCCTAACATAACTACATCCTCACACATGGCCACAGCAGGCCTAACTGCTCCTTCTCACCTTGCAAGCCCACTGTAACAGCAGAGTTAAAAGTGTCTCAAGGACAATGTCACGCTACTGTGACTGATGAAACTGCCGAATAAGGGGCACCTGGCCCGCCACACTTGTTGCATTTCAAGCTGAGAGCAAATGCTCAGTCACCTTTGAGCCCAAGCCACCCTGACGGCGATTGGTGAATCGTCAGATGCACCTCAGTAGCTCCTAGTCACAGCTCACTTTTTGCAACAGAGCAAAGAATTAAACTAGAGACCGTCCTGCACTCTTACCTCCTTCTAAACATTTAGCATTATTTTCCCTCATTATGAAGCATTGCCCACCAAAGCTCTGCAGATTTCATACTGTCAAATTATTTTTTCATTGTGTGCCCTATCAGAGCCTGTTTCACAAGCCACCAGTGGGGCTTGCACGGTCTCAGTAAGAGGCCTCTTCAGAGCTGGGGGTCAAAATACCGCCTAGCAACACCATCAACCACTACAGAAAACTTCAAACTTCAAAACCAAGGGAGGCCAAGCCCAACTATGATCAAAACCAGTGTCAGCAATTCCAAGGTGATTACAGCTCAATCTGGAAAGTGAACTCTGCAAGATAATCTTTGCATAAATTAGTGGATTCAGTGTATGATGCTGTGCCAAAGAAGCTGTAAGCATTCAATGCCCTTCACAGCACACTGACTACAAGATGCAAAACAGCTGTGGCCCCCTCCGGTCTTATGTAATATAAGTTAAACTGGATCTATACAATAAAGCTTTTTAATTTTAAGACATGCTTATGCTTATTTGAAGTCATGATACAATAAAAGGAACTTTGCTCACTTTGGTGTACTTGTATTTGGGTTTGTAGCTAGTAAATGTCTTAAAATGACTACCACATAGGTTAGATGGGTCCAGTGGTCTCCTAGTGTTTGCACCCCTTCTTATGTTCTTAAACTTGCTTAGTCAGATGAACACACTACAATTTGTCATTTAGAATACACAATGTCATTTGGGAATACACAATGCTGAGAAAGCCCTGACTACTGGATAAGATCACCCACATACTCCAGAAAGCAGCTGGCATAAAACATGGCATTTGTAAAGATACTTCTTTTTCAGAAATGAATAGTCACCCACATCTCTGCTACGGGGTAAACTGAGTACCTCATTGATCTATATTTTGCTTTATACAAGACAGCAACTCATTCACATACTCGTAATGCTATCTGTAACACTTGTGTGGGACTACTCTCTTTCCTGGTAAGGAAACAGTAGGAGGAAGACCCTGCAAGGGTATTTCTTTCAACTACAGCCTTTCAACTTTGAAGCTTATATGCAGTCATTTGCAAGAATTTTGATGTGTTACAATGGGTAGACTAATACAATGTGATCTATAAGAAAAAATAAATGAAATGCTGACCAACTCATTATATCACGGAACCAAAAACTTGCCCAAGTAGTCTTTGTGTTTGTTTAAGCTTGTAAAAGCTCAAACTACTGTCAAATATCCAGGAGGAGAGAAGGCAGGAATAAAGTTGTCACTTACGTCTTTGGAGGGCTTCCTGAGCACATCTCCCACTCCTCCTCCGTTCCTGAGACCCTGGTTCAAGACTGTGACGATACACATCAGCAACGTGTCACAGACTTGCTCTGTCCCATCATTCTCTTGTGCTAGAGCTTCAGAAACAACAAAAAGATCCTTATCAGACAGATTTCAAAAGCTGGAACTAACCACTCGCCTTTAGAATCAGACTCTCTCACAAATAAGCAAATTACAAAGGAACGTTGTGAGATGAAAGTCAATGCACATATATGTTTTGTTTTTTTCATTCCACTGCATCTAATTACCAATAATTCCATAAAATGATTGATGTTCACCCCAAAGAATCAAAACTATACTGTATCTGGAATACAACCAACTGGTATAAGCACCCTTCTATTGAATAGACACTTAATTCTAAATGATTCTATTTTGAAAAACAAACAGAAGGCTACTGTATGTGCCCAAGAAACAAAGAAGAAAAGCCCTTTTAGTATGCAAATCAAAGTATCAGTATTACTTTGCCAAAAAGCAAAATGTTATGTGTCCATTTGTACGTACTTAACTTCATGGATTTTATTTTAGTCTTTCTTTCTCACAAACATAAATAAAATAAAAGTGTCTAAGAAAAGCTGTTCAGAAGAGGGGAAGGTCTTGTCTATTCAGCTCGCTTAGTTCTAGTAGCCAATTGATCTGAGGATGACCAGGCCAAAGTATCAGCTGGCATCAACAACCTGACTGGGCATCTAATACCAGGCTCCCACAATTCCCTGCACAAAGGAGTGTTTCCTGTTGGGTCTTAAATGCACTATAGTTTTTACTTGTGTCCTCTGGATCCTGTTTCATGGTTGATCGTGTAGAAGCCCATTACTACTCTGTCTATACTCTGAGGATTCTGAAAACCTGAATTTAGTCCCCTTTTAGACTTTTCTAAGACTGAATAGATTAAGTTCTTTTAACATGTCAATCCTTTTGGAATTTACCTAATGACTGTTATTTGGACTAAGGCTCTACACAATATTCTAAAATAAATACATATATTTCTAATTTAAGTGCACTTGAATGTGTTTACATTTTTCAATTTTTACAGAGTTTCTTGGCAGCTCTAATAATATACATGAATTGCTCTATATAATTAAAAAATCTAAAAAGCAGGATATTAATTACCTCAAACTTCTCTTCCTAATGATACGTCAGCTCTGCTGTTTGCAGGCTATAACGTATTGCTCATATTCAGAAGTTTTCATTTTTCCCACAGTTTAAACCCCCCCCAAGAGACACATTTAATCCAAAACACGTGTTAAACAACACATCACAGGTGATCAATTAAGCAGCACGGGGTTCTGAAGAAAGTGCATGACTTACTGTAAGCACACCAGAACAGTCAGCTCTTCATAAACATGGAAAGATATTCTTAGCGCTTAACCTTTTCAAGTGTGAAAAGGAAAGCACATCTCCCAGTTACCTAACAGCTTAAACACATTATTCAGCTAAAAAAGATTATGTTACAGACGAGAAAAAAAAATCCAGTTGCAGATGATTTGGTTAATTATTTTTCCACATCCTCCCCTATCGTGCGAACTAAAAGGCAAATATGCTGGTCCTTTCTTTTTCAGTATTAAAATATGAATGATGAAATATGCATGATGGATAAAAATAATGTTTCATCAGAAAACACATACTTTAGCTCTGGTGCTGAACCAGCCGTTCAAAGCCTGTGTGAGTCTGTAAACCAATCAGATTTTCATACTAATAGGTGTCCTAATTCAGTAATTTATCAGATTTTTTGCTTTATTGAGCCGGATCTGAAACTGGTATGGTTAAATGGGTTGGATCAAGGCTCTTGACAAGTTTAATTCAGCACCTGCACTCGACCATCACCTTCTTAATAATGGAATAATGGAAAACCTACAACAAACGTTTTTATCGTATGTATGATATCATTTTAGTATCTTTGGGAGGAATATCTTATGGTTTTAGACCCATACATACCCAGTCTTATGATGACCTAATCTTGTGAAGTAATACTCACAGGCCTATTTTGTAACAAAGCTTTTAATGCTTCTATATTACGCACAACCCATGTTCAAATTCTAAGTTTCCGAAAAAAAAAGTTCAAATTGTAAATTACAGTTTAAATCCAGGTTACTGTAGGATGCATTCACCATACATACTGTATGTGACTTTGACTTTATTTGGTCTGCAAGTCTACAGAGTATCAGATTGATCAAGGCAGCTACACACAGAGTGGTCCTCCACGATAATGTGGCACTGGCTTATTTCTTCCTGCAATAACTGAAATAAAGGCCAGTGGTAGATCACAGTTACAAAACTGCAAACAATGGAATGCATGAAGAAGAAATTATTATCACAGCAACAAAATGCGCTGATTTTTAAAGTATGCTAAAAACGGGACATCACAACTTAGTCAGAATGACCTACCTGTAGCAGAAGCTGGTAAGGAACCACTACAGTTTTCTTTTGAGCATGTTTCTGTCATTGCAGATGGTTTCAACATCTCCGCTTTGCCTGAGAAAAGCAGTTGTAATGGATCAAGCCTTCTCCACGCATACAACATCTCATCCAATCTATTATAACACTTGTTTTGAGAACTACAAAAACTAGTTAATTGTAGTTAAACAAAACAATCTGCTTTTGACATGTTCCATTTGCAAAACTGTGTTCACACTATGACTCTGAAGAAAGAAAATGGAACCCTCTTGTCAAACTAATCCCAGTTTTCTGGGAACCACAGGCATAAGGAAAGGGGGAGAAAGGGCACATTAAAGCCCATTAACCGCTAAAGAATATAACTAAAATAATAGTCATTTGCATCTGTTACCATTTACCAAGCCTAATTGTGCTTTCGTATTCAATGATCATTAAACTGTTGTCAAAGCTTGCAGTAAGGCAGATTATGGAACCCCTTCATTTTCTCACAGTAATGCCCACTTGTGTTTTCAACCAGTTTATTTTGATTGTGAATAATTGAATTCCAGGGAACACTTAGAATATTCTCATACACCACATCCCATTAATTCATAATAGCTTTACCGTGTTCTGTATTAAGAGCTAGCTCTTGCAATAAAGCCGACCTTGGTGTTTATTTATGGTCCTAGCAACAGTCGTACTCAATTATCTGGGGAGTAATGCATGTTACATTGCAAATTAAAAATCCTGCACAGAATATGCTACTTGACGAGCTTACCTTATGCTACTTAGAGCTTTTGCATATCATTTGTTTGACTTCCTGATGTTTCTTTCTCTTCTCTATGGTAGCATTCTTGATGGCCTTTCAATTATGTTTATTATTAAAAAACGAATTCATCACAGTGCAATTTTAATACACAGTGATGTGCAGTATATTTGTTTTGCTAATACAATGAAAGACATTCAAAAAACGTGTCAGCCCATAAGCCTCACATAAATGAAAGATACTAATGGTCTCGCAGTTCTATATTAGCTGCTGTCAAGTAGCTATCTGGGCACTCTCATCAAGACTAGCCATCCACACAGGTATCCTTTGTTCAGACTCAGATTTGGTTGTTCATCACTGTCTTAATGCATAAAGTAACTCCCAGTTAAGCAGCTGTAAAATCATAAAACCTGGATGCTATTTTCACCTTTTTTCACTACCTTTTCAAATTCCCAGATAAGCATAATTTTCCTAATTTTATACTTTAATTGTGCAACAATGACTCAGTCAGGAGTGGGCACGGTGGTACAGTCCTTAGTATTGCTGCCTTGAAGCACTGGGACACAGGTTTAGTTCCTGTGGTGTTACCTGTGTGATGTTTGCATGTTCTAACCCAAGTTCATATCCATACTGATAGTTCAAGTACAGTAGGTAGCTGTGTCAGCACACATAGGCTGCAAAGGAACAAGTTAAAGGCTTATTCCATGCTGAAAAGAGAAGAAAGGAAACACAACGTTTCAGCTGTGGAAACACACCCTCACACACCCGAAGAAGGCTCCACAGCCGAAACGTTGCGTTTCCTTTCTTCTCTTTTCAGCAGGGAATAAACCTTTAACTTGTTCCATGCTGGTAGGTTAGCTGGCTTCTAGGAAAACTGGCCCTTGTGTGAGTGTGTGTCCGTGTCCGAGTGTGTCCTGTGATGGACTGGCGTCTCATGCAGGGTGTATCCCGTTTTGCTTGCCGGGTAGACTCTGGCTCCTCAGCAATCTTGTACTAGATAAAGGGTTAAGAAAATGGGTGGCTGGACTCAATCAGGAGTCAGTTGGAAAAGTGATTACAGCACCTTCCATATATATCTGGACATGAAGAATTACAACATATTCCTTAAGCAGAGCAGCTGCAGCATTGCACCAACTTCAAGATTAACTGTGATATGGGAACTTGGCAAGGATTAAAAGGTTAAATGTCTGCTCCGAATTCTAATAATGCATTCACTTCAATGGTCATGGTTTGTGCTCTCTGAGCGTGAGAATACAGAGAATTATGATTAGGCTGGTAATTGATCTCTACAACTGAATACAGTGCCCACACAACGCAATGTTAATCCTTACCCAACAATTTCACATTGCAATAACAGATCTGGAGAAAATAATTTTCGAGGAACTTTCCCTTCATAAATTTATAAAGCTTTTGTATCTGGTATTGGAGCTCGAAATGTTGCACTACATCTACATCACCTATGTAGATATAATGTAGTTTGCATGACCTAAGTTTTTCCATAGTAACATGAGAAGAACTTAAGAAAATGTGACACATGGATGGAAGCCATTAACTAAGTTATTAGTTAATTGATCCAACGATCTCACCCAGTCAGTACTTAAAAAGAAGCCAGAGTATCATCCTAAAAAACTCCCACAACCCTCTGGGTAAAGAAGTGTCTTGCTGCATGTCCTCGATTTTAAATTAAATAAGTATTTTCCATTTGTGTCCTCTGAGTCATGTTTCAGTGTCCATTCTGAAGAAACCCACTGAGTTGACTTTGTTTTATGAAACGTCATATTATGTGAAAAAAGTTTTCTAATTGTACAGAAAGTCCTCTCAGCTGTCCTGCATTTAAAAGCTGTTGTCAGTCACCCTAACAAAGCAGATCTCTTGCAAAAAGTCAATAGCACTCATGACTTCTTAAGGAGCACCTCCCTGATCATGAGTTCAAGCCTGTGTCAGGTCAGTAGACCGAGTGCTTCTGAGGACATGGCAGGTTAGTTATCCAGGATTCTCTCAGCTCTGAGCAATAATAATGACCCCTGTGGTCCCCCTGGTCATTACACCTACTATGTTTTGAGCAGTCCGTATACATGCTGCGTTGCTACTTCAAACATCTACTTCAAAAATCCTTTCATCTTCTGACACCAAAAAAATCCAACACCATAATAGTTTACAACGTTTTTTCCAACGTTCTTAAAAGTATGACTCCACTTATGACCGTCTGACAGGCCTCACACTGCGGTCACTTGGTCATGCTGGTAACTCCTGACCATCATAATCAGACTGTTTACAGAGTTGGCTCTTCGTGTCTCAAGGACTGTTATCCCAAGAAACTAATGAAGTTAAGAAAAAATGTGTTATTGCAACTTAGTTACATTAGGTTTTGCCATTGCTGTGAACTTTATCTGCGTCAGCGTCATTTGTAATTATTCTCTGTGAGCAAACAAAAGCTTCACAGCTGACTCTGGGCCTGGGCCTGGTTCTGGGCCACGCATAGCAGATGGGGTTGGCCACGGTATAAGCTCACAACCTCCTTTCGAGGCTGCCGCACAATCTCCAAAAAAAGAGCATTTACCCATGCTGGGAAGCCTGTCCACCTCCATGCGGAAATCGTCTTTGAGGAAGAGGAAACCCACGATGGAGAAGAGGTAGACCAGTATAAGGGCCAGCACGGCGGTGAGGATGATGGAGCGCCCGTTCCGCGTCACACTCTTGATCACGTTCAGCAGAGTCTCCTCTCTGTACACCAGATCAAAGAGCTGGGGGGACAGATACGTCACAAGGCCATGAGACAGGCTGCCTGTCCAGAATCACATGCCACAAAAACTCCCTTTTATTTCCACTCACCTAACCCACTTCCTTCTCAAGGAAGAGACAATCTGCTGGAATGGCAGTGTCTTTATTCCAAGACTGTTCTAAACAGTATATACTGTATTTACGGCTTTGGGCTTCTAGTGGGTTCATAGTCTTTCTGGAGGAGGGGTGGAGGGAAAAACTTCACCTGACTAGAAGCAAATGTCAGTCTTAAGGCCACATTAAAATGATTAATGTGTTTTTTTTTAAAGAATCTTATTCATGCAGCTTAACTGTATATTCCACTTCTGCAAACTAACCCGCACCAAAATTTCAGAATGAAAATGAAGACAGAGCATCTCTAACTGTGGCACTCGCCACTGTGAATACTAACTGCTTAGAGCATAATCTTCACTAGTACATTCATTTTACATGCAAGAAATAAATTATATTGGAATAAAATAACAAAAACAGAAGATTGCCTCTTACCAAAAAGCTGTAGAAGAACTCGTGGACAAACAGGCCCAACATACAGACGATGACATAGGTCACGTGATACAAGAAGGCCATGTCCATGATAACTGCTTTATAGCCGCGCGTGAATGTTCCTCGGTTGCCAACAAAACTCACCAAAAACACAATTTTATTGAGAAGCTGAAAGAAAACCGTAAATAGTCATCAAAAGGGCATGAAGAGAACTTTAATTATGGATGTAGTATAGAAATATGTGGATAGCAGAAGAAACAACTCTGAAGTACAGTACATCTTACCACAAGTATCTGCACATGATACAGCACCTAAGGGCTTATTCAATATTTACAGCGCTGTTTCATCAAACAGCTTGCATAGGCAAGTAAAAGTGACAGTGCAGGGCTGTTAATATATACAAGGCTCAGTTATCACACATTGGTGACAGTCTCTAAGAAGACCTTTTATTTTCTTGCCATTTGGCAAAGTGATCTACAGTAGGAGAGAGATACTCCTAATTTAATTGTAATTCAAAAACATGCTCTCTCCAGCCAAACCCATTGTGTATTGGGTTTCTAAACTTCCAATGTACTGCCGAGGAAAAGTAGTTAAGCGGTTCTTTCGGAGGACAGCCTCTAACCCAGAGTGTGATATTGTGTGCTTCCTCCTCTTAAAAACTCTAGCTCACCAAGTCTCTGAAGCTGCAAAATATGTCATTTATTTATTTCAACATGTTATGTTAACATAATACAGGGTGCTACACTTATTTTGACATGTTTGTTAAAATATTATAAGGTATAATATGTAACATTTTAATTGGCAAATATTCCAAGAGGAAATTCTAAAAACAACAGTGTACAAGAGTCCCCTGACACTTGTCAGCAAAATCTACATTTAGTCAGAGGCCGGATTAAAGTGATGTACATTTCCTTCTGAAACAAAATGAAGCCTTGGAAAGCCATGCTCTTTATTTAAAATGTGTTCATTTGCATCAGCATAGCACTCAGTGGAGGTTATTCCACATGGAATATGGCAACTTCTAGCCTCAAGCTCTGAGGGACACAGACACTGAACAAGTCTTTTTTCCAGTGTGTAGGGCAGCCAGGTTAGTACGAGGCTGTCGTGGTTGGCGAGCAGTGGTGAAATGTGCACTTTTGCACAAATGTTTCCCTTTCAAGAAAACACGGGGCAAAAGCTCCACGAAAAACAACTTTTAATACATCAAATCACGTGGAAGGGCAATCAAGTCTGAAACGTGTAATCAGAATTAATGCTTGAAGGCAGAATCCAAAATGAGAACACAATGTCCTCTTTACTCTTTGCTCAACTCGGTGGTGCGTTTCACGAGTAAATGAAGCATTAAAATAGGAAAACGCTTAGTGTTTCTTTGAATAGCCTGTTTTATTTTGGACTTGCCGTTTCAGACTCTTAGCACGCAGAGGGTTACACAATGTTAGGCAGGTCTTCATGCGTAGAACATAACTTCTCTGGAAGAAAACATCGGAAGCAACTCATACTGTACCTCATGCCTGATAACTTACATTAGCTGCGCCAAGCAGTAACAGGGTAGGGCCCAGTCCCAATGTGTATATTGACCTGAGTATAACCGACACCAGGAAGGGCCTAATCCCTGCAGGTTTCGGTAAAATAATGAGCATAGCTGTGCACACCGCCACTGCCACCCATAAGAGAATGGACACAAAATGGGGGAGTATGCCTGTGAGAGAAAAACAAAAGCAAAATTCAGGTCCCAGAACAGTAAACACTTGCTCACTCCCTTCTTTACTGAATGTGAACTGAAAAATAAAAAGACACCAAGAACTCATATTACACTCATACACTTTCACACACCTGTGAGTATCTAAGGATATTTTTCAATAAATGTTATTTGGAAACCAGGAATAATTTCTAGCAAAAAGGACTGACGCGATGGGACCAGCGTAGGGTATGTCTCTTTAACAGGTGGTTCACAGCACCAAAACGCAAGTCAACATTGAAAGTGACACAGGAAAAAAGGGATTTGATCTAATAACCCAGTTCTTGTTTGGATTCTGCAAACAAGTGCAAAAAAAGGAAGAAGTCTGAAAAATTCAAAAATCCGAGACACAACAACCTGTCTAGTCGCAGCAAGGCTGGAAAGGGAGCTCACTGTTTCCGAAGGGATATTTATAGCAACTCGCTGCAATAACATCAGCTTCTGTAGATAGTAAATACTATATGTTCAGCTACTAAACATATAAATATATTTAAAGGTAGGTTCTGCCAAAATGGATTTTGCTGTAGGCTAAAGGGCGATATAAAAAGCAATTATGCCAAACTCTGTTTTTAAAAATGTTTAACAAGATCAAATTCAAAGTGATCAAATTCAAAGTCCTTTCTTTATGCTCTAGAATTTGAACTTTTTCAATTATGATTTCAGAAAAGCTTCAGAAAAGCTATTGTATACATTTGTGTTTTCCTAAACACAAATGTATACAATACCAGAGATTATAAACATTGCAAAACAGACTTCTAACTCCTAACTGAGACTCCTAATGAAAGGCCACCTGATACTCACTGCAAAATGCAGTCACACCTTTTCTTAGAAATCAGCTATTGTGTCTAAGTATTAAAAGTCTGCATTGTACTTTATCAAATTTCAAAAATCCTACCAAAAGTGCCTCTGAATTCCAAAGAACAAAACAAAACTCTCAAGTTTAAGGGTGGAAACGGGGGATTTCAAAAAGACACCTGATTAGAAACATAAAGCAATATCTTTAATACTGAAAATGGTTACCGTTACCAGCATTCCTGAATAAACCAAACTTGATCATAATTCTACATGAAGAGTCAAAGACACTAGTTGACGACCTCAGAAGAACAACTTCTAAGCTACAGAAAACTCATATTCTGAGGTCTGCTTGGCCCTGTTCCAAAGTGAAACTAGTGAGCAGGTGTGCCTGTGGTCACAGCGCGTGTCAGACTTCAGGACGAGAAAGGGCACCTGCGAGCTGGAAAGATGGCCTCTAACCCAGAGCATGATCTCGTATGCCTCATACTTCCGCTTCTAAAATCCCTAACCCAGAGGGCCTTCAAAGCTGTAAAAGACGCAACTGTATGAGTACGTCATTTATTTTCTAGCTAATTTAAGTTAACTATTCACTAGAAGCAATGCAAAAAAGATATACCTTATAATCAATAATGAATCTATCAATCAGTCAGTCAGTCAATCAATCAATGAATGATAAACCAAGAGGTACAAGGGAGCATTTCATATTTTCTTATGGGAAATGAAATAAAACCGAATACCCTTTTGCTGTTGTCTTCTAGTGCACGTTAAAGCATTGCCAAAACGGATTTTGGCTGTGGCCTACAAAGGTGTTTGCTGCTAATGCAGTTTTTTTGTTTTTTTGAATGCCTCTCCTGCTCCATATTCACTGACTAGTAAGCCTTATCTTCAGTTTGGCTCAATTAAACCGATCTATTAAATACAACACATTGGTACAAAAAGACAACCGGAACAAAAGAACTGCCATAAAAATTCACTGGGGGCTGGTCAGTAGAAATTGTACCGCAGGAGTGTATTAAAGATCTAGTATATTTGGCTAGCCTTGAGAAAGCACAAGGACATCTGCTTGATGACAACACAGGACATGCTATATACATCTACAGGATACTTGAGTGCAATGTCTAATAAAACAGTAAGACACATGAAATCAATTTTTATAATGGTTCATACGTCCATCCATTTTCCAACCACTTCATCCAATTCAGGGTTACAGGGGAGCCAGAGCCTACTCTGGTAAGCATTGGACCGGAAGCCAGACCATCGCAAGATGCACACACTCACACCAGGACCTGTTTTCCCAGAAGTCTGCTAACCTACAAGTATGTCTTTTGAAAAGTGGGAGGAAACTGGAGTACCTGGAGGAAACCCAAGCGAATACAGGGAGAATGTCCAAACTCCATGCAGACAGCACCTCAGGACATGAATTGAACCTAGGGTCCCATCACTGCGGGGCTGCAATGCTAACCCACTATTGTTCATTATTGTGTTATTCAAAGCCAGTGACTTCACTGAAACAACTTTACCCTTCTCCATTTTAGAAAAAAGTTATATGGGGTGATTGTTTTGTTTAAAACAAAACTATCCTCAAAGTCGAGAAGTAAATCTCAATAGTGCAGACTGTAGCAGTGAACATATGAGCACGTAGATCTTGATTTCTCAGAACTGGAGCAAAGAAAAGAACACACCTTCGTCTTCATCATCCCCAAAAGGATAAAACAGGGCAACAGCCAAGTTTACGAGCACAGCCAAGTTGAACGAAATACTACCCCACAGTGAAATGTGCCGAGAAAACCAAAACAGAGCAGGATTATCTGAAAGAAATAAAAAGAAGAAATACCAGTGATGTACTGTACTCAAAGTTATTGAGCTCCATTTTACTTAAACACTTAAGGTTAAAAAAAGAAAGATGTTAAGAAACATCTCTAGTACATGAGAACAATGACTGGTGTTTGGGTTAAGAAATCATCTAGATATTAGGGAAAAAGTCTTTTAAATCATATTCACTGCTTACATATGCTGTTATTTCACCCTCTCATCTTATTTTTTTTGCCCAAGCCATCTCCATGATCAACACTGAGTATTCATGAACTGATTTTGAAGGAAGCAAAAACCTTCTTTGTACCTTCTTTTTATGGTAAGTACATACTGAAACTTACAGTATTCATACTGAAACATATATTCACAAGCACATTGTTCTTTTAAACTTCAGCAAGAATAAGGTATTGATTTCACATATATATGGAAATATTTCTAAAAAGTCATACTTCTGATTTTTTTCTGCCATTTCATTTCATTGTAGAGATCTTCTGTCTGTTGGAAGAAGTCATTGACCTTGCTGCCTTGATCATCCCTCTCTGTAGTGTTGAAGACACGGATTTTGGATTCCTCTGTCAGATATTCACAAATATTTGGCACAGGAAACACTATCTGCTCCATCGTTCGGTCATGTCGAATAATCTGAAAGGAAACAAAAGTACCAAACACAACAAATGAGTAAACTGAAATTCCAGAAAAGAAAAGGCAAGAAAAGAAAAAAAAAACACTTGCGTAAATGTACAGCCAGGAAAGCTATGGATTGCCAAATTTAACCATGAAAGGTTAAGTTTAAATGTGCAGATGAATGGAATTGCCAGTCAGACTTGATAAAGAAAGAGGTGAAACTAGGAATCAGGAGGAGAGGTATGGACAATGAAAAGGATGCGTCCTGCTTACAAACAGAACATTCATACAATATAATTATTTTAAGTCATGAGAAAATCACCATCGCCTATTACATCAGCAGGTTAAGAAAATAAACGAATTCCAAGTTCGCATTTTAACTATAAAGCACTGTGATCCCTCCACATGGCAAATCTTAGTTTAGCTTGTTTAAAAACCCAAATTTTAAGTCTCAAGAATACTTCTTTGTTCTACAATTAAAAATATTCAATTCTATTTGTGCTCCATTTCTGGTAAATGAAAATCAAGGTGTAATACATGTTGTGTCCAGCAAAAGGGACACAATCCAGGTGTGTATGAAGCAGACATTACCTTTATTACATATGCATGAGGGAGTCAAAGCCGATGAAGCACTGACTCAACTCATTGATACAAAAGGATGCTTTTTATGCAAAATCACAAACAGAAAACCCACCCAGAACAGTTTCAGTACAATTCCATGCCTTATATGGTGTAAAACCAAAGGTTTCCATTATTCTAGCTTAGTAAATTATTTACACAGTAAAACTAAACAATTGTAATAAGGGAAATAAATGGTTGATCCCTCAGTTCCCCCTTAGAACACATTGACACATTTTCCAATCACGTTCTACACAAACAAATTTAACGTGCGTTCTGATGGTTTTATTGTCTTCAGAATGGACTATCATCATAGATGTGGTAACCTTGGTGCACAAAGGTTTAATATGTGATATGACTAGGACAAAAATAACAAATATTACCAATCGCACCAATAAATATGGAGCCAGGGTACCACCCCATGAGCCAAACACTGACTTTAACCGTGAGCTGACGCCCCAGTCATCAAGATTATAATTGCGATACTTCTGTCCTTCACCATAGTTGTGCCGTGCTAAATATCCATGACTTATTCCGAGTTGTCAGGAACGTGAGTACAACACTCAGCTCCAATTACTGCACACGTCCCCCATTGAGAAGCAATAAGTAGTCTAAAGCCAATCGATTTTGCATTGCGAAGGTCCTCATGATCACCAACTCGTCATTGATGGTCCTTAACCCTTCGGACGTTTCATTAGCGAGCTTTTCTAAAGACGCAGCCATATTAATGGATTCTCTAGCAAGTTTCCCAGTCCCATACCAAGGGAAAGCTATAGCAAAGAATCGTTCTACTTCAGTAATTGCTCGGGGGTGTATTTTGGAGTGATCTGGGGAGAATGGACTATGTGCCATTATCCGAGTGTGTGGTACAACGTATCTTAGATAGCAGGTCCCTGACCACTCTGCAGGAAGCCAGGGGTAGGCATTCTTCCCACATACTAGGTAGGTGCCTATACACACGGGAGTCAAAGCCGATGAAGCACTGACTCAACTCATTGATACAAAAGGATGCTTTTTATACAAAATCACAAACGGAAAACCCACCCAGAACAGTTCCAGTACAATTCCATGCCATACACTGTATGGTGTAAAGCCAAGGCTGCTAGCCTGATAAACTGCAAGAATTGGAAGAACATTTTGGGGTTCCTTTAATCATTGTTTAAGCAGATATTCTGTACTTGTATATTTTGTTAATCATTGCTCAAGCAGATATCGGTCACTCTCAGTTCTGGTCAGGCTGCCCGAGGCTGGCTTCGCCCTCACGTTCCGGGCGCGCAGCCAGCTCACGCTTAGGTTCCAGTTAGTAATTTTCCATTATTCCAGCAGGATAGTTAGTAAATTATTTACACAGTAAAAGCAAACTAGGGTAATAAGAGGAAATAAATGTTTGATCCTTCATACACAATACACAACAGCCTCTCAGCCAAACGGGTTAAAGCCAAATATCGGTATCTCAATTCTTCTCACACAAAAGCACTCCATATGAGCGTGATGTCAAATCTGCTTTGTTATTCTGGATGTCCAGGCCACATAAACTCATATTAAGCCAAACCATTTCCCATCATTTCATGTTAAAAGATTTCCAGGGGTTAAACTAATACAATAGGTACTAAAGAGAATAACCCTCGTCGTCATCAGGACTGAAAGACCTGCTCTCGTCTGTAACATTTTCTACATGATCAATGAAATAGATCAACAACGCCGTTTTAATATGACTGCCTCCATTAGTAGAAATGTTGTCCTTTCAGTTTCATTCACCCCCTTCCAATAACATCAGATTTTGCTGAATTACAAATGATGTACACACATTTTTAAAGTGAATATTTTAAATCCAAAACTTGAATACTCAAAGTGAACCTTTAAAGTGTAAGAGTCTTCTATAGAGATTTTGAGGTGCATTTAATCTGAAACCATATTAACCACTATTAAAGCAAACAGGTCATTAAACCGACCATGTGAATTATAGCGAATTCAGTGCACCTGGACTAATTTATGTTTGTCCTAGCAAATATATATATAATAAATATGCCATACGTAAAGTGTAGTTCTTGATTTTTCTTCAATTTGAACTTTTGCTGACATTTAACTTTTCACCCAAAAAAGTGAAAGTTCCTTGTGCAGTCTGAGCATTTAAGTTCTCCTCAATGCCAGGCACTAAAATGCACAGTATCTGGTTGCTCTTTTCTGGACTGATTTTTGTTTTTTGTAGCATGAATGGATCTTGGAAAACAATTCTAGACAAATGTGCGAAAACAGACTGAAACTAACGTTTTATTTAGTTAAGATGAATACTTAAGTGACGTTTTTCATAATGTATAGCACTGTAGTTATCAGCAGCACAGGGAGCTTCATTTAATTTGCAAGGTGGCTGCTGTTGCTGAACAGGAATAGTGAATCACAGTACATTCTGCATGTCAAAATATATTGAGGGAAAAAAAGTAGAATATGTGTTTCTAAATAAGTCTGTATCTACAACCTCCGTACATGGAGAGATGATGTGTCTACCGTCACACTTCCTCTACAGCAGGTGTCCAATAACTCTCAGATGTCTGATGTAGAGAGGCTTGTGACTAAGCGAAACGGGACTATTGACAACCTAATTTTACCCCTGGCATTCTGGTGCCCTCTGACCAGATCAAAACTGCTTGGAGAAACACAAATCTGCTTAAGGTCCTGTAACGTAAGTGAACTAAAAGTTAAAGGCAAAGTTCCCGCTGACAGCTCATGACAGTGAGTCGGAAGAACAGGTTACACGCATGGAAGGAATGATCTCTAGAAGGTGCTACGACACTGAATATTGTGACATTTGGATTCGTCAAGACATTTCAGATAAATATCACTGACACGTGGGATAAAGTGAGTCATCATCCTGTAAAGAGTAAAGAGCTTTGGGACCCTAAATCCCAATATTAATTAATGTTAGTCCCCTAATAATTATTAGTAGTCTATGTACAGTAAAAGGATTATAATTTTATAAATTGAATTATTTACACCCTAAATCAGCCAAAATTTAGCCATAATAAATAAAGAAATCCCTAGACGATGAATATGCTCTTCTATGGTTGTGCTTTTATAGAAAGGTTGTGCCTTTCTGAAGATGTTGCATACTATTCGTGTGCTGAATTGTCTATATTTCAAAGAGACAAAAACACCACACACTCAATTCCATTACACAACAAAATCACACGTAGAGCATTAAAACAGTGTTGAGATAGTTCAGAGACATTTTACCTTTTTAACCAAACAAATCTGCTGTTATACTGTCACTTGCTGCTGCACTTATGCTCACTACCTAATAGTACGTAGAAGAAAGTTATTGATTCCTAGAACTAGACATACAACGGGCAGGGGAGGAGGCTGAGGGTAGCGCTGTACTGACGAGGCTGGAGGGGAGAACTGCCTACCTCAATCTGTGCAGTGTGCTTTGCGTAGTATTTCAAGGGTTCGTCTCCAATGTTATCTGGATCCAATCCCGGTTTCAGACTCTGCTGTAGTATTTTATTGTGACGAGCCAGCTGTAAAAAAGTGTATTTCAAAGGTTAGTGATTGCGATCACGAAGACATCACAAACCTGTAGCCGGCTTCTCTCTGCCCACATGGGCAACCTTATTACACTGCTAACAGCTATAGGAGTCTGTAAAGTACTTAGTGGAGAAGTGTTGCAAAGGGAGTCACACCAAATAAAACTACTCATCGACTGATTGATGGCAATGCAACAAACAGATCCCAGGCCGATCTTTTTAGGGAAATATTTTGTTCCCCACCATTAGTCTTAGCATGGCAGAAACCTCTCAGCAAGAATGACACACTGTCCCTATTTCAGGCTTCAAGGGTCTTTGTGTACAAAAGGAAAATCAGAATTTAAAGACACTTTGCTCTTCAGCTTTGTATAATGCCACGGAATAATCTTTCATAAACAAAATGGTTATGAGCATAAATGATTGTAATGTTTTTAACAAAATAGTAAGTTATATAGTGGCACCTCTGTCAGAGAGAAGTCTGAAATGTTTCTAGTAGTGTAATATTAAAATCAAACAAGATAAAAGATGAAAATAAATGGAACTAAAATATTAAGAGAGGATATAATTGTACTGCGACAATTTGTCACAACCAACTGCCACTCTCCTGACATGTGCCTGTGCCATATTTTGAAGAAAACTAGAGCATTTAGTCAACCCCAAAACCCAGTCACAGATGATGACTTCATGTCCAACTGACCAGGGAACTTTAGGATAAGGTACTGTCACAAGACATCACTTGGCATTAGAACTCCATCTGCCAGTACGGGTGCCTACAAGGGACTGGAACCCTGAGGGGTTAAGGGAAATACGGCAGGGAGTTTGTAAGGCAGCCAGGTAATAATCCGAAGCCTATTAAGTGGTGCAGAAATGTGCAATAGTCATTAGGTGAGCCGATGCATTTTGCCACTTGCTGACAGGACTAAAAGCACAGTTACTCCTGACCTACTGTCTCAGAGCCGCACAAAAAACAACCTCTTCTCTGTAATCTTCATCTTCAGATATTTGCGTTTGATCTCTGATGAACAAATCTCTATTAATCTTGACATTGCCAGCACAGTTTAGAAACACATCCGGGCTGTGTGCATCTTCATGCTTATGTCAGTTCTGAAAAAATTCACCACCATCAGAGATGCATAAGATGAGGTTGTTTTATTTGTTTTACAAGCAGGGGTTAAGGTAATCTTCTTTTAAATCCCAAGATTTTCAAAGTCTCCAGAGAAGGAGAGAATCGGCTCTTCTCCCTGTGGCCAGTTGGACAAAACCGACATCATTGTTTCTTCCCCTGAAACCTCAGCAGTTTTTCAGGGCAAGAATGAGAACAGGCAACAGCTGCGAATCTGAAGCTAAAATGTGGTTAGGATCGTGTCTTCCAGTTAAATAATGTGGTTATCTAAAGTGCAGTTAGTCCTTTATATTTCTTCTTTAATTTGTTTTAATAGACAAATAGGCAGAAATTTGCAAGTTACTATTGTCCTTTGTCTCATTCGACAGCTATCCTGCGCCAACTGCTGAGACAAAATGGCTGTTGGTAAAACTCATGTTAGACCTATAACGATTCAAATAATAATCAAGAGCTAGAAGGACATAGTCATGGAAGATCATTACCCTATTGAAATGAGTTATTTGAAAAAACACAATTTAATGTAATATTGTGTCTGTAAGTCTTATTCTGAATGAGTTCAAGTAGGTGGCTGCGTCAGCATGCGCAGGCCGCGAAGGAACAAGTAAAAGGTTTATTCCATGCTGAAAAAGAAGACAGGAAACACAATGTCTAAGCCTTCCCCGGGTGTCGAAGGCTCCACAGCTGAAACATTGTGTTTCCTTTCTTCTCTTTTCAGCATGGAATAAACCTTTTACTTGTAATTCTGAATGAGGTACATATATACACAAACCCAACAAAGAAGTCATTGAATATTACTCAATGTACTTATCTAAATTATTTCAGCACTGATGTTCTGAAGAGGTCCAGTAGCACTACTTATGTCTCAGCCACACAGACCATTAGGAAACTAGGCACGGGTTTGAGATCAGAACAAGAGAGAAAACATTCTGCTTCACAACAGATGTAAGTAAATTCAGACCATAACGTATGTGCAAAGTGATCACCACAAAGAGTGTGCAAAGACCTATGTCATAAGATAAACATCTTGTGGGTGTGTAAGCCGATAATACCAACATGATCTTGTTTAGCATCTACATGGCTGAATCATTTTAAGAACACCCTCTGAGAATCAGAAAGTCTCATGCTTCCTAACTCTCCAGTGCTACCCCCCGACATTCCCTCAGGAACTGTGTCCAAATTAAAAACATGGCTTCACACTTCACTGACTCCTGCTGTGGTGCTCCAGATCCTGTCATCTCTTTCTACAACAGACAGATGGGTTTCTAAACCATAATAGTGTGAGGTGTAACTTCTGTCATTGGTTCAATCCATGAAACACATTTAAGAGAACTGCTTACAGAAACTGAAAGCAAATTGAAGTTTTTGATGTCTCCAAATGCATTTCCTGTAAGCCTATTAATAACCAGAGCACCTGTCTGCAGCTAGTTAAAGTAAACCAGCTTTGCTCAGTTTGGGAAGAGTGAAAGACTCCCTGGACAATGTTAAATTTATCTAAACCTACTTCTACTAACGTCTGCCCTTCTAAACAAAATTGCATTATTTGAAAATGCATATGGTGTACCATTTCTTTTCCGTTTTACTTTAGCACACAACGAGATAAAACCTATTAGCCAACTCAGAAAATCCAACCTGTATCCAACAGCAGAAAATCTGTCTGCTCAGCAAAATCACTATCTTCAGTGATAGTGGGTTATTATCATGCCTGGCTTTTTTCTTGATTTCCCACATGGAATATGGATGGATCATTGACTACTTGGATAGCGCATTTCAGGAGAAATCTATCAACCCAACCCCAGCTATGGCTGCATTAGAACATAAGAACCCAAGAAAAGTTACAAATGAGAGGAGACTGTTCAATCCATCTAACTTGGTCTGGTCTATAGTACAGTAGCTAGCCGATTTACGGATCTCATTCGGCTATTTGTAAAACCATGTGATCACGGTTGACCCATTGTGAAGATCTAAACGTTCTTGATGCACAATGACTTTGGCCAAACAAACACACAATCAACAATGTATCGTAACACAAAAGGGGGCTGTTCCTTCACATGGCCCAAGCATTGAAAAAGCCCTTTTTTTAGTTGTTGTTCTGTATTTGACCTTTCTCACCACAAACACTTCTTTCTATGCACGACAGAGCAGATGCTTACGAGAATGTCGAGCTCTGCTGGTAAACCAAACCACAAAAAGGGGGAGAAACAGAACTGGCAACAAAAAAAAACTTAAACAAAACCACAGCAGCCCGGCAGTGGCCGCTTATAAAAACTTTCATGTCTGAGCAGATTAAAATAACTGTCTGACACCAGGGTTTAAATTAAAAAAAGAAGAACCTGAAACTTGCAAGACCTGGCATCTCTGTAGAATAAAGGTTACATTTCACTTTAACACTATGTACATGCTCTGAAATACATTTTCTAATTAATGCTAAAAATTAAATACATCTATATCTGCAATAAAAATGACCGAAGGCTTAAAAGTGCTATTATATAGACAAAAATAGTCATCTTCAAAGATTAACTTTTAATTTCTAGTTCATGCAAGACTTTTTTTCAAATAAGAACTTGCGCTTACGTTTTGACAGAATTTTCCCTTTACAAAGTCTGGCATAGAAACCGCTTGTAGTGGAACAACCACAATAAAGTAGTTTTTGCTTTTGTAGAACAATCCTTTGTAAATGTTAATAAACGCATCTTATCGAATGCAGCTGCGAGCAACGCGTCTGGTGAAGATTCAGATTTCAGATCAAACAGGACAAAAAGACAAATCCAAACTCAGCCATCCAGCAGAAAAAACAAAACAATTAATAAATATTTCTGGATCTAGTTATATGTGACTGAGACCCATGTATGAGCCATGATGTAAAGACACAACTGACAACTGCATACTGGGTGGATAATAAATAATAGGTGATTCTTTCTGGGGTCCAGGCTTAATAATCCTCAAAAAAAACAAAAGAACAACTGAACTTCAAGTGTATCCTGTTGCGTAACAGTAATCAAATTAATGCTTCTCACATACCGGTGTTTATTATTATACAGTATGTAGTCTGGCTTTTAGCTACCCAAGTGTCACTTTCCTATTGAGTTACTAAAGTTCAAATCAGCAGCTTTGACTTTTAAAATGAGGAACAGGGGTGGACAGAATGGAAGAAAAATGGTCATATTATGGATTATCCGATCAGAACAGGTGAGCAGGTCAAGTTTAACACAAAGTTTAACATGAGATTACCTGATGGGCCAGGATGTATATATTATGACCAACATCTTTTGGGTGGATTTTATCTCCTCCATCTTCCTTATCACCCTCAGTGTCCAGATCTTGGCTATATGCCACTTTCATCACATCCACCTAAACACACAAACAAGGTGGAAAAATAGCCGTGAACACGGTTAATACACTGACCTCACGATAGTAAGAATGATGACAACAAAGCACTACATCAGTAAAGTACGTGCATGGCTTGATTGTGGCTACTCAACCAAACAAACTTACAAAAGAAACATACTACTCAGGTCTAATGGAATGAGTCTTGGAATAAACATAACCCCGGACATTAAAATCACAGAATACGTGAAGGCAAATATCATGATAATTTTCAGCATAAAACCAAAAAATTGCCAAAATCAAAAACCCTTTGAAAGGTTACATGACGATCCTGGCAGCACTGGCGCATAGATCTGATAAGCATCTGGCTCTGCAATGGTCCACCACTCTTCCTGTAGAGCTGCAGCCGGTTGGCAAAGGCTGGCCATTTGTGGTTGTTCATTGTGGTTGTTCATTGGTGGTGAACTGGTCCCACAGATATTTCAGTCACAGAGAAGAAGAAAAAACTGGCCACAGCAAGACCTTGTCATTGTTTGCTGTCCATGTCACTGAAGTTGTGTCACTGTAATGCCAGCACTGTGTGGTCTTGCATTGTCCTGCTGGAAAATCAACAGTTCCAGTCTGGCTCATGGGAATGGAAGAGACGTTGACTCAAGGACAGGGAACATCAATGCTGCGTCGAGAAAGATGGTTGCCCTCAGTCTGCGCTAAAGGCATTCCTACATTACAGGACATTCCTCTCTATAATATCAAACTTCTACCACCACTTCGGTTGACTTAAACAGTGTAACAGGTGGCAAAAGTCTCAATGTCTTCACATATTCTCTTCCATCGGTTCTGTCAAGGGCAAAACAGCATTCATAAAACTTTCACACATCACTTTCGTCACCTGCTCAGATATTCTGTGCTCTGCAGAAGATAAAAATCTCCTCCTTCACTTTTCAGCATTACCCCTCAATGGCATTTGAGCGTGCAGATACATTTCTTGCAGACGGAGGAGCTACTGTCCTTCTGAGCATGGATGAGCGATTTCTTCCTGGAATTACTGTGCTGTAGATGCTGTAGTCTGAAGTTTTTCAAGCCAACAGTGGCCTGTGTAACTCATTTGGTTGCTACTATCTAATTGTTTTGAGGATCTGATCCATATGTTCGTAAAAGAAGACAGTAGCGACATTAGCAACTGGGTAGCTTGTTACACACTCTGACAGCCCTTTGTGTAAATAAATGCCTCCTGTTTCTTGGAGAACTGCGTCCTGGTCTTCTTCCGTTTCCAGTCGTGTCCTCTGGTTACTGATTGTCACTGATATTTGCGTAGTCTTGAATTTTGTCTGAATCCCTTGGAATTTTCTTTGCATCTTTTAAAGTGTTAGATACTCTGCTTCTTATTTAGTGTCGTGTGCAAATGTGATCAGTTTATGTACTATACCAGAATCTACTGTAGATCAATGATATAAAATAGTAAAAGCAAATCCTAATATAGATTGCCGTGGTACACCACAGTAACATCACACTACATATCTGTACTTTCTGCTTTTTGTCCATTAATTAAACAATTCTTAATCCAAATCCAAGCAGTTACTATACTTAAATCAGCCCAAGTATATTATAATGTATTTCCTAAAATTCTATTCCCACACACATGATCCTCTAGTTTTGTTCTGATTATTATTGCCATAACCTTAACTAACGTAATATGATTATTTATTATTACTAGTTTCTATAGAATGTTTGTCACTTAACATTCAGTTTCATGGATGGATGCTACTTTACCAATTATCCTGTCAATGTGTACAACCCCTGAAGAACTGAACCCTACAAAATTAAGACTTACATTTGTTACTTGTTACAATTATATTCTGAGTAGACCAAGGCTTGCATTTTCACATAGTGAAGTTCCCCCTTTTAACAAAACACACACATGGTCACAAATACACACCTCCAGGAATGTTGAAACCTAATGACTCTTGGTGAACTGTGTTTTCTCTTACCAGCTCATTTGGTCTCATTTTGAACAGGATCTTTTCTGCATTTTCACTGTCATGTCTGCTTTCCATTATTGCAAGCAAAAGTTTTGAGGCATTGTTCTGAAGAGAAAGAGCAAACAGCACATAAATTCATCACCACTACAGGCTGAATGCTGAAACACACAGAAAAAAATGTCTTTCTGCCTCCAGAAACTTGTTTCCAGATGCAAAATCCCTGAAATCTTCAGTATGCTGACAAAAATTTACTCAGAGCTATTCTGAAGAGTTTTCAATAAAAACCACAAGAATTCCACTGTAATTACTTAGAGCAATAAAGTTCAATGTAGTTTTACAGCAGGAAGGTTTAATGTAGTTTTTCAAAACACAAAACACTCCACTGGTGTTTTAATATGCGGTAGGTGTGTTAATACAAGGGATTGACAGAGTACCTTCAGCTCCAGGACCAGGTCCATACGATTTGTCTCGAGCGGATTGATTTGATTCACAATGAGGGCTATTATAATGTCAATTCCATTGGATTCATGTTTTGCAATACAGGTCTAAAGAAAAAAAAAAAGAATATGCAGATTACCGCCGAGTGGAATTTCATTTGTCAAGGTGTAACGTAGACTGAAATGAACTCAAACCCAGACAAAAGATTGCAAGAGCCAAAGTGTCAAAAGTGAAAATACTTTTTTCTGGGTTTTTCGATTTCCTAGAATATTTCAAAGACTATAAAAATCATGCTTATCAGTAAGATTGAGGGACAGACAGAAAGACTCATTTCCTGAATAAAAACAGTTTCATGTAAATCTACTTTTTCTCTCATATATACCAACCAACCTTCATATCACAAATTCCAAAGTAATAATCTACCAAACTAACACAAAAATGTCCACATTTGCCTTCTCACTCATTCTCTAGTGTGTGTGTGAAAGGTAGACTGCACTTATAATCACATTAAAATAACTTTCCTCGCCAACATTAAAACTGCCTATAAATACAACTACTGTATATAAAAAAGCCTTTAACTTTGTATTTACATTTCCAAAATCAGAACATCAAAAATATCAAAATTGAGCTCCTGCAGTCGATTCACCAGAAGTAATTGTAGATAATTTGAATTTAAAAACAAGTAATTTTTTAAAAGGGAAAATATGCCAACAGTACTTTTAAAATCTTAAAATTCATATAAGCAGTTATTAAAAGGAATAAGGATTAATACTGTAAAAAACAGATTTTAACAAACTTCCATTTTCCATCCATAAAAAACTGCCTGTTGTGGATAGGAACCCAGAGTCTGTTCTGGAAGGAACACTATAAATCCAGTTTCTGAATTTAAAATTAACATGAATTTATGCTTCCTATACTGGTAAAGTAAATGTTTGTGACCACTAATTTACAGTGTCTTCCAATGGCATGATACATTCCTTTAATGTTAAACTGTAATGTAAAGTTAACAAATGTGATATGATATAATATAAAGATCACTTTATTAGCCATATACTATTTCTTGTATTAGCAATTTGTCTTTTCGGATACCCCATCTTGCTCTCCATGAGACACACAGACAGGGAGAGAAGCTTGGGGTCAGAGCGCAGGGTCAGCCATTTATACAGCACCCCTGGAGCAGTTGGGGTTAAGGGCCTTGCACAGAGTAGGATTCCCATGCCGGCCACGGGACTTGAACCAGCAACCGTCCAGCCACAGGCGCAGATCCTTAGCCACAGTGCCACTGTTATTGCATCTTATTGCAGTTCTGGGCTAAAGGGTTCAATTCTGGATTGGAGAACCTTCTGCGAATTGATATGTTCTTTGCAATGGTCACATGACTTTTCTCCAGCTGCTCTGGTTTCCTGCCAGACATGCTGTCAGGGTTTATGTGGGAGTACCCTGTGGGCTGGTGTTCCCTCCAGGGTGCCTCCTTCATCGATCCCACTGTCTACCATGTTAGTGTCTGGCTCACTGCCACCCTGCACTGAACTGAGCTGCCACTGGAAACGAATGCATGACTGAATGAATGATAGACAGAGAGCAGACCTCCAAAGTTGAAAGATCAAAAAGCATCAAGGTAAAAAAAATCCCGCCAAGTTCAACATTTAACAAGACACTATAGTATCTTATGAAATGTATTTTTGAATACTAAATAAGCATCCGAGAAGGAAAAAAGTATTTTTTGAGTCTTCACTGTAGCACTTTAAACTCACTTTGGGAGTCTTTGGGAAAAGGTCACGGCTCTTGTGCTCAGTCATCTGGCTGGGTGCCTCTATCCCTAGAGATCCATGAGACTTGGAAGCGAACGATGCTGCAGAATCACCTCTAGTGATTCCCTGGTTTTAGGTCACTCACATGACAGAGCACAAGGATGCTTCTCAACTCCCGATAACAAGCCCTTTGGCTTAACCAATGTACCACCCAGTCTTGACACATTCCACCAGCTGCCACGTAAATAAATGTCCAGCAGGGTCCTCCTCTATTAGGATGCAACAGCAGAACCCGATCTGGGGGCTTGATCTGCCCCCAATTAAAACGTCATATTATTGTGGCAAGTAAAACATTTGTGCCTTCAAAATCTGGAATAAACCTGGAGGTTAAATGACAATACCCCTTGGCCACCAGTGAAGAGGGATAAATTAGGCGTGAAGAGTCTGACAGAGTGGAAGTGAAACAAGGCAGAGCGGAGCGGTACCTGGTTCTCATGGCAGGGCCCCTGGCAGTACTCCGTGATGGTCTCCAGAGTCTGCTTGACCAGGTCCACGTTCCTCTCGTTGATGTACAGGCCCAGCAGGCCCAGGCCGCCTGTGGTGCCCCCGCAAATACAGTCCAGGAACTGCAGGGTCTCACACACCAGATTATAGTTGGTTTTGTTGTTCTGATTTCTGAGGAAATTCTGGGTAATAAAGAGGGAAAACAAAATGTCAGATCGGCCTCGGCCCTCTCACAGAAAGAGCAAGGCCATCTAGGGCAGTAGGAGCGCGCTCAAATGATTCTGGTCCCCGAGCTTTGATATATAAACGGTGATACTCTTTCTTCCAGGGTAAGAGAAATCAGCATCGGGTGGATATGTTTAAGGAAATCTGGAAACCAAAGAACTGTTTTTGAAGTTGAAGCATACGTTTTTATTTGTAACCAACTGGTTGCTCATATAGAACTAGAATTAGAGGACCTACCGTAGAAACCATGACAACCAACCGTAAGACATAAAAGCCACAGGAAGGGATACAACCAAATACACAATGTTTTGTTTGTTGTTGGGGTTTGTTACGACCGTTAGTGCTGAAGAAACACGTCTTTTTGGAAAAGTGCGGCCCCACCTGCAGCTCCCTGTTGTGGTTCTCGCACAGCAGCTGGAGGAAGCGCAGGATGGGCTCCATGGTCACAATGGCGGGACTCGTCTGCGTTTCGTCCTGCGCGGCCTCCTCAGCCGCCGGCCCGTCGCTCCCCGAGCCAAGCAGATCGATGTCTGGGTCGATCTCCTTCCGGAACATGCTGTAGGCCTTGGATGTGGCAGAGGAGGCCTCCTTTAACTGCCCTTTCATTTCATCCTTGAGGTGCAGAGGGGATTCCTTCCCTGTGAAAGTTATAAAGTGTGTGGGACATATTATACTCTTCCTGCCACGTAGACATAAGGCACGGACAAGCTTGAAAATATCAATGCAGCTAGAAGGATACTAGTAGTATTTTTTTCCCCCTGAAAAAACAGATTTTGATATCTATCTTTTGATTCGCATTATTTTTTTTAACCCATCAATAATCTGTACTATTGATAGGATGTTCATTCTGCTGAAAAATTAAGTTAGCATTATTAAGCATTCCCTGCACAAATTAGTTAAGCACTACTACTAGTGCTTAATTTAAAATCCTCAAACTTTCTAAATGTATTTAATCTTACTTAATATAATCACAAAAGAAAAATATTGTTTTTCCAGCAAAAACAGCCTTCACATTTTCAGCCTCTATTACTGGGGCTAGTTTTATTTTTTCTGAACATTGTCCATCATTGGTTACCTTAAAACATACCAGAACACTATCCCATAATCCCCCTGCACCATATCCCATAAGTCCTCTGTGCCATGTTTCCAGTGGGCATGAACTATGGAAAAGCTAAGGAAGGCATATTTTTAATTAGTTTTTAGGGGGAAAGGGAGATTAGAACCTGTTTGCCCCCAGAGTTTACATTTCCAGAAAACCAAAACCCAATAAAATAGCAAGCATATAAACAAAATATTTGACTTTTTTTCTACTGTGTTTAGTAAAACAGTCAAAAAGATGTTGACCTTCAGAGGTAACGGAATCCAGTTGCTAGGCAGTTCAGACACTGATAAGTTGGACTGACCTGTTTGCTTCTGCCTGGTTGCTGTTACATCTCCTTCATCATCCCTCTTCTTGCAGGTTAGATCATAGGTGTTCACTGAAACTGTGGATCGGATCTCTTGCTGTGCCAGTTTCATGCGATCATAAAAGACTTTGAAGAACTTCTCTGACTTTTTCTGCTCACGAAGCTGATGGTAAAATGAATTCTAGAAAAAAAAACAAATGTTGCTTCATGAGCACAGCCTCAGAAAGTAGCTTGCATGTACAGAAATATTTTTTCAATTACTGTTTATTTGCCAATCTTATGCAGACAGTACTAAGGGAAACTAGGAATACAAAGACACATTGTGCAAAAACCAATCATACATCATACCTGTATTTGAGTATTTCCGCCTTTCAATAAAGCAATCCCCAGTAAAATACTCTCTTGGAAGATTCTATCATTTTTGGTATTAACAATCAGGTCTATCACCATCTCAGTAGCTCCAACATTGTCTAACAGGCACTGAATATCAGTCATGCAGGTTCCAGATTTGTCTGAATCTTGTGTAGATGATCCACCTCCAGAAAAAAGGCAAAGAAACAACAATAAGAAAATGCATGAAACGGATTAAGTGTGAAAAGGGTGAAAAGGGGAACCCTGTGAGCAATTTTACTGCCTCTAAAGTTATACTGGATTCATTTTACACAGGCTCAACTCCCTTAGGAAGTGTCCTTAGAACATGAAGAGCAGCAGGCTGATTCTTCAGGAATAGTATTGCCAGTGCTGGCTTTCACCAACTTTGTTAAGAAAGGTTACAAACAGGAGGCAAATCAGCCCCACCGAACCCAATATTGGTAGTTAGTTTGTTAATTGATCCCAGATCTCATCCAGACATTTCTTGAGCTTGTTCCAGACTCCCACAAATCCTTGGTGTACAGATGGGCCTCCTTCGGCCCATGCTGTTCTGTTGCCAGAGGTCTTCTCAATTTTGATAGAACACATTTCTGCTATAAAATTATGTTTATGTTAAAATACAAATAAATTGCGTCATGTTTCCAATGTTGGCATCCCCAAAGCATGATGCTGCCACCACCATGCTTCACTGTGGAGATGGTGCTCTCAGTGTGATGTGCTGTGTTAGGTTTGCGCCAAAGTTCAATTCTGGTCTCATCAGACCATAGAATCTTCCTCCAAATTGTTGAGTCTCTCACATGCCTTTGGGCAAACTCCAGCTGAGATGTGATATGAGTTTTTTTCAACAGGTTTTCTTCTTGCCACTCTTCCATACAAGCCAGATTCATGAAGTGTGCGTGCTATTGTTGTCTCACACAGTTTCTCCCATCTCCGTCATGGAGGACTGTAACTCCTTCAGAGTTGCCGTAGGCCTCCTGGTGGACTCCCTTACTACGGCTCTTCTTGGCCGGACACTCGGTTTTGGAGGACGGACAGTTCTGGGCAGATTCACAGTTTTTTCCATATTTTCTCACCTTTTTAATGATGGACTTCACTGTGCTTCGAGGTATATTCAATGCCTTCTTATATCTTTGTCCTAACTGATATTTTTCAAGAACCTTGTCTCGGATCTGCTTGGAATGTTCCTTGGTCTTCATGGTGTAGTGTTTCCTTCGAAATGCACTAAGTGAGGAAGCTCCCAGACACAGATGTATTTATTCTGAAATCATGTGAAACACCTCAGCTGCACACAGGTGGACTCCAGTCAAGTAATTCTGTGACTTGGAGAAGAGAGTTGGTTACTTCAGAGGTAATTTAGGCGTGTCAAAGCAAGGGGATGAATACTTATGTATTCAATTATATTCTGTTTTTTATTTTTAATTAATTTAGTAAAATGTCTGGATTTTGTTTTCACTTTGACATTATAGAGTACTTTGTGTTGATGAAAATTCTCAGTTAAATCCATCATGGTTCCATGCTGTAACACAATAAAATGTGAAAAAGTCCAAGGGCGGTGAATAATTTTTGTAGGCACTGAATCCTCCAGTCCTAACCCTTAAAGCCAGACCCTCTGAGCTCTATCTACATCAGACCACTTCACTTGCAGTTTATGTCACTAAACAATTCGCATGAATATTAACCAAAAACATTTACATTTTGGTCAAGGTTCACCAATTTCTTCCAGATACCTTGGTTTCCATACTTAGGTTAGGTTAGAGACTTGAGACCAGACTCCAGCTGCCTTTCTCAGCGCTTCATCTTGCAGTCCAAAAACAGGCTCTATAATTTCACATCAAGTATTTCAAGAAGCCATTTTTTAATTGGCTTGGCATGGCACCGGACACAGAGACATTACAGAAGCAGTGAGGGAAGAGGGGAGAGGGTACAGGCTGGTAGTTCCCAGAACTCACATTCCAGAAATCCCAAACCCAACAGAATAAGAAGCAATTCAACAAAATAGTGTTTATTTAACTATTCATCAAACACTTACAGAGGTGACCGCTTGTTGCTGGTAAGTTTGCACATTTTTTGGAGTTTGATCTGTTTTCTTTTGGTTTCAGCCAGGTGGGAATAGGTGATAAAGAAGATAAAGAGACATGTTATATTGGTGTTTAATGTACAGGACACTGTCAGAGGGTAACTTTTAGTGGAGTCAGAGGGAGTGCCTTTGGCAACCAATATAAATACATTTTAATTTGGATTAGAAAAATCATTTGAGTGTTCTTTTTATTTCTGCTTTAAATCATTTAATACCTACCTCCAGAAGACGTTTTAGAGTAATTTGCTGATGAACTGCTGATATCACTTGATTTTGACAGAATTCTTGTATTGCGAAAGTAACGAGTTAGAAGAATTTTCCTCAATATATTGCCCTTAAAAATAAGAAGAACAGCATTAATCATACACTTACATTTTTGTGTATATTTTCCCCTTTTCATGGTAAGAACAACTCTTTCATGGCAACCTAGAAATTACATGAAGCAAATAACGGATAATATAAATCATTCTTAAATGTTGGTTGCTCGTGATCTTAAAATGAGAACTTCTTAAAGCTGTAAATATTAGATAACTTCATAGCTACATATTACTCGCAGTTTTTCCAGCTAAACCAAAATCATGCAAAATTACAGCACATCAATTCACATCTTGGAACAAATTTCAACGACTTGAATAGAAAAAAGAATAGCTCATGCACATATTACACAGATTCTATTTTGTGGAAATTGCAGTCTTTTTATTCTGACTTTTGAACCCCAGGGACTGTAGATAGTCTAGTTAGTTGCCAGTGGGATATTATGGGGCTTCCCATTCTGAAGAGTTTCTGTTCTTATATCTCAGCAAATATACAACAGAAAATCCCATCTCTTACAAAATGCATTTGTCTGGTTTTAATTCTGGTTTTAAGAAGGTGTTCAATTTTTCAAACCTCTGTTCACAGAAAAAACAAAATGTTTCTCAACTTGTCCATGAAAATTGCTCCCTCATTTGCTGTTAAAGGGCTACAAGAAAAGATAATTGCCCCACAATACAGTATATTTAATTACCTTTGCCTGCCTAAGACCTGTAAGTGTTCTGTTCCTTGTGCCATTAATAATGCATCAGCTTCTAAACTATGCCATCAGAATGTTATTTGCAGGTGTTTTGCAATTTCTCTGCAAACTGATCCCCTTCTACACTCCCACTGCCACTCCTCATGTTTTCCTGTGGCAAAGCAATGTTGTCTCGGGAGACAAGATGCTAAATACGGTATGCATTTCCTCAAAGGCAAGGTGTGTTGCCTGTTCCTGTGCTACAGTACGTGGTTTTTTCAATCTGTGATCCGGGGAGACAAACAGCAGACTGTATGTGGCCACTGAAGAATGGAAACAGCTGCAGTCGCGGTCCAGAACCTCCAGGGGTCCACTGCCCTTGTCTACCAAGCCATGTCAACATAGACACTAGAAGCTCCTGGCCAGCGGGCTGCGGTCAGCGAATCTAAGTGTGACGGGGCTCCAGAGTGAGGGCCCGCCTAAGAGGTGCCAGCTATCAGTCATTATGCTCCCAGATCCCTGACAGCTGAGCTGCCCCCTTATTCAATGCACTGAGTCTCCTCGGAAGACGTGGGAGGTAGGCGGTGAGAGGGTGCATCCAGCCCGCCTGGGAGCTCAGTGCAAAGCTCTGTTTCACAGAGAGCATGGGTTCCCAAGGAAGCCCCAGATCCAGGCCAAGAGCTGCAGACGTGCGAGCAGGGGACCAGCTATTCCAGTGGCCAGACGGTAAGCCAAAAGGACCTCTGAGAAACCGCCGGTGAAGCTTTGTTCACACCGCATGCCCATTTTTATCTCCGATCTTATGACCTGGTTTCTGTTCACTAAATAAAGGGCATTAAGGCACAGGGACACTTAAACTTCTTGACTGCTGTTGGGTGTTCGGCCCGTAACAGAGAGCTTGAATTCAAACAAGCAACATCCAGAGTTACTTCACAAATCATGGTGCTGCTCACATGCTGGATTGCCTAACACAAAGTCCTGAAGTCCATGGAATAAACTGCACTTCTTCTTAACGCATAAATATTCTAATTTTGGTCTATTTTAAGATGGAACACAGTTAATCTGACTTTGGCTTCTATTCACTACCTCAATATCCAGTGAAGTCATTTCTGCACTGCCTCAAAGCTGATCGCTCCTGAAACTTTGAGCTCTGAAAACAACAGGTGTCTAGAAGCAAAAAAGGCAAGTTAAGCTAAACCCCCAAAAAATATGCAAAGCTGAGCAAATACGGAGCAGCAGAAAAATAACCTGTCCTTTATGTCATAAGCAAAATCAACAAGTTCTTACGAGGAGAATGAGTCATTTTTCATAGCAGGTGCACTAATATTTTATTGAAGAGACAAGACAGGTAATTTTATTATGCTAATTCACATTATCTATCCACAGGATTATCAACACAGGGTTTAGACAGGCTCCATGCGCCCTGCACATCTGCAACACGTGCTGTGCACCAGGTAAACAACGCTGGCTTGGGAGATTTCGCCTCATTCCTCTTTTGTCGTCTGGACAAGGATGTGTCTTTTCGATATTCTCTGAGCCCCAGATTTCAAACATTTCCCCAATGGGGAACAGTTCTGGAAAGTACAGAATTTATGGCATAACCGTCGCATGAAAGAAAGCCGCCATAACATGAGCAGAATATGGATGACCCTCGTCTTGCTGGAATAATAATAATAAAAATGATAATAATAATTGCTTACACTTATATAGCGCTTTTCTGGACCCTCCATTCAAAGCACTTTTACAGGTAATGGGGATCCCTTCCACCGCCACCAGTGTGCAGCCATAGTGTGCCAGAACACTCACCTCAGTGGGGAGGAGAGCAGAGTAATGAAGCCAATTCATAGATGGAGATTATTAGGAAGCCATGATTGGTAAGGGCCAATGGGAAATTTGGCCAGGACACTGGGGTTACACCCCTACTCTTCTTGAGATACACCCTGGGATTTCGAATGACCACAGAGAGTCAGGACCTCGGTTTTTACATCTCACCTGAAGGACGGCGCCTTCCCCGCCACTATACTGAGGCATTAGGACCCACACGGACCACAGGGTAAGCGCCCCCTGCTGGCCCCACTAACACCTCTTCCAGCAGCAACCTTAGTTTTTCCCAGGAGGTCTCCCATCCAGGTACTGACCAGGCTCACACCTGCTGAGCTCCAGTGGGCTGCCAGGGGTGAGTTGGCAGGTGATATGGCTGCTGGTGAATGTTCTGCCATGATCAATGCCAGCGAGTGAGGTGAGCAAGTCAGTGTAGCACTGTGCAGCCAGGCTGCCATCAATCACTACAAGCCAGGATCTCTAATGCCACGTCTGTAGACCATCGTGCTTTGGGCCTCTCCATTGGCCTTAGCAAGGTGAAGCGTTGCTAAATAATGGCTTCTGAAAACTCAAGTGAAAACTGTCAAGTACAGTGATAGCAGTTTTCTAAACTGAAAAGTGTAAATGGCAGTATTTCGTGTAAGAATAAAAAATGTATCCAGCCACTGACCAAATGGACTGAGCTGCAACGCCTTGCCTGGCTAGACTTTTCTAACTGAAACCCTCAGATGGCGAAAGGTGAAATGCTGACATATTCCAGTTTTGAACATAGCAACGGCACAAAAGCCTTATCCCCTTGATAAGCGGGGTGTATTGGCTCCATTCTGTGTTTTTTTTTTCCGCCAGGCTTTGACATTCACCGGGTTTACACAACCTGTGCTCATTCAGCTCCCTGACTGATGAAGTGATTTAATGCTCATGCACGTTTCCCTGAGTGCATCACAGCCAGTCTGCAATGATCAATTCAAGTTTCTTTTCACGCTCAGTATATTTCAGTAGCAACTGATGAACTCCAATTTCGAAGTGAAAGTGCAAAAGAGTGTTTATTGAGGAGATGATAGTGATGGGTGACAGGGCAACCCAGCCGAGGGAATGATGAAGCTTCACTGGCGCTTAGTTCAGAAAAAAAATGATTAAAGTCACAACATATCCCAGTAACACACACGGCAATGGATTCACTATAGAAAAGCATAGTAAGCAAGAGAAGAGAACACTCATATTGTAAAATGAATCTATTAATACCAATAGACTGTGAGGCAGACAGATTTCAGATACGTCAGCAGTTCAGTTAGAGGGCTGCGGGCCTGGCTAGGAGGACAAGGAAGACTGAACTTGTCTCAGCTCGTCTGAGCTTATCTGCAAAACCCTTATCTGTGGTTGCATTAGTGAACTAATTGGGGTGGACAAGGACAATTTGAATAGAACTAAAATTGTGGGGAGTCTCCCAAACCAATACATTGCAACTATTGTACATAAAAGATGGGAATAAAATGATGGTGGTTTTTCCCATCATGATATCTCAAAATACTTTAGAAGACAAAATGGCAGTGACAAAAAGAGATGAACAATATTCCTAATGTAGCTATTCCTTCATTCAAATCACAGCTTTATAATTTTGGCATTCATGCACTTCCTCCTTTCCTCATACCTCATTTTTGGTACAAAGGAGAAACAGTGCACAAAGAATTTAATTCTGCAGAAGGCTCTCTTCTTGTTTATAACATTTCTTATGTTCTACAGCAAGTGCTACTTTGTTTGTGCTTTGTGAACCACAATCCAGCATGTTTTCTACAACACTGCCTGCCAAGGAGCTATTCATTTGTATTGCTATTTTTTCCCCTTGCGGCATCTCTAATGCTATACCTTCTTGGCAAAACGCTACAGCTTCTGAATAGCTATGAGGCTGCCTAGCTGGAGGCACAGCTATATTAAATAAACCAAAACCGAAAAGTAGTGCTGCGAAATGTTTAGTGTCTTAGTATCGCAAAATTATTTCAGTGGCATAATCTTTGAAAATTTTAACATTTCAAGGAATAAGATGACAAATATAGAAATAAAGCAAAGCCAAAAATGACCACATTCCTTTTCCCTCTGACGTTTTGAAACATCCTCATCTTAACTCGATTTTTGCAAGATAATAATTCCTTGCATCTTTATAGAACCCCCTTCATCCACCACTGTCACCCACTTGGGTGTCGCATGGCTGACAGAGCACCACATCAGACAGAGAAGTGAGAAACTGCTTCAGCGTTGGGGGGGGGGGGGCGTTTGAGAGGGCCAGATTAAAGGAGCCCAAAATGGTCATTGAAAAAATTAATCAATAAAAAAATGAACCAGGACACCATGGTTCACACCCTACTCCTACTGTACAAGCAGTGCCATTGTGTCTTTAATGACCGAGGACCCTGGATTTGTTTACAGACAGTTTGCCGTTCTATTCAAAGTACAGAGTCACCTGCAACACAGTGCCCCTTGTTACCATACTTGGGCACCAGTTTGGAAATAATGATGCAAACAGAAAA